ACTGAACCAGGAAGAAATAGAAAATATGAACAGAACAATCACAAGTCATGAAATGGAAATTGTGATTAAAAATCTTGCCACAAACAAAAGTCCAGGACCAGATGGCTTCACAGGTGAATTCTATCAAACATTTAGAGACGAGCTAACACCCATCCTCCTCAAACTCTTCCAAAGAATGGCAGAGGAAGGAACATTCCCAAACTCATTCTATGAGGCCACCATCACCCTGATATCAAAATGAGACAAAGATACTACAAAAAAAGAAAATCACAGACCAATATCACTGATGAATATAGATGCAAAAAATCCTCAACAAAAAAGTAGCAAACAGAATCCAAAAACACTTTAAAAGGATCATACACCATGATCAAGTGGGATTTATCCCAGGGATGCAAGGATTCTTCCATTCACGCAAATCAATCAATGTGATACACCACAGTAACAAACTGAAGAAGAAAAACCAGATGATCTCAATAGATGCAGAAAAAGCTTTTGACAAAATTCAACACCCATTTATGATAAAAGTTCTCCAGAAACGGGGCACAGAGGGAACCTACCTCAACATAATAAAGGCCATATATGACAAACACACAACAAACATCATTCTCAATGGTGAAAAACTGAAATCATTTCCTCTAAGATCAGGAAGAAGACAAGGATGTCCACTCTCACCGCTATTATTCAACATAGTTTTGGAAGTCCTAGCCATGGCAATCAGAGAAGAAAAAGAAATAAAAGAAATACAAATTGGAAAAGCAGAAGTAAAACTGTCACTGTTTGCAGATGACATGATACTATACATAGAGAATCCTAAAGATGCCACCAGAAAACTACTATAGCTAATCAATAAACTTGGTAAAGTTGCAGGATACAAAGTTAGTGCACAGAAATCTCTTGCATTCCTATACAGTAATGATGAAAAATCTGAAAGAGAAATTAAGGAAACACTCCAATTTACCATTGCAACAAAAAGAATAAAATACCTAGGAATTAACCTACCTAGGGAGAAAAAAGACCTGTATGCTGAAAACTGCAAAACACTGTTGAAACAAGTTAAAGATGATACCAACAGATGGAGATATATACCATGTTCTTAGTTTGGAAAATCAATATTGTGAAAATGACTGTACTACCCAAAGCAATCTACAGATTCAATGCAATCCCTGTCAAATTACCAGTAGCACTTTTTACAGAACTAGAACAAAAAAATCATAAAATTTGTATGGAGCCACAAAAGACCTGGAATAGCCAAAGGAGTCTTGAGGAAAAAAAAAACAGAGCTGGAGGAGTCAGGTTTCCTGACTTCAGACTATACCACAAAGCTACAGTAATCAATACAGTATGGCACTAGTACAAACACAGAAATGTAGATCAATGGAACAGGATAGAAAGACCAGAGATAAACCCAAGCACCTATCGTCAACTAATCTATGACAAAGGAGGCAAGGATATGCAACGGAGAAAAGAGTTTCTTCAATAAATGGTGCTGGGAAAACTGGGCAGCTACATGTAAAAGAATGAAATTAGAACCCTCCCTAACCAAAAATAAACTCGAAATGTATTAGAGACCTAAATGTAAGACCAGACACTATAAAACTATAAAACTCTTAGAGGGAAACATAGGAAGGACACTCTGACATAAATCACAGCAAGATTGTTTTTGACCCACCTCCTAGAGAAATGGAAATAAAAAGAAAAATAAACAAATGGGACCTAATGAAACTTAAAAGCTTTTGCAAAGGAAAGGAAACTACAAAGAAGACGAAAAGATTACCTTTGGAATGGCAGAAAATATTTGCAAATGATCAACGTACAAAGGATTTATCTCCAAAATATATAAACAGCTCATGCAGCTCAATATTAAAAAAAACAATCCAATCCAAAAATGGGCAGAAGACCTAAATAGCCATTTCTCCAAAGAAGACACACAGATGGCCACGAAGCACATGAAAAGCTGCTCAACATCACTAATTATTAGAGAAATGCAAATCAAACCTACAATGCAGTATCACCCCACACCAGTTAGAATGGGCATCATCAGAAAATCTACAAACAACAAATGCTGGAGAGGGTGTGGAGAAAAGGGAACCTTCTTGCACTGTTGGTGGGAATGTAAGTTGATACAGCCACTATGGAGAACAGTATGGAGGTTCCTTAAAAAACTAAAAATGGAATTGCCATATGACCTAGCATTCCCACTACTGGGCATATACCCAGAGAAAACCACAACTCAAAAAGACAAATGCACCCCAATGTTCATTGCAGCACTATTTACAATAGCCAGGTCATGGAAGCAACCTAAATGCCCATCGACAGACGAAAGGATAAAGAAGTTGGGGTACATATATACAATGGAATATTACTCAGCCATAAAAGGGAACGAAATTGGGTCATTTGTAGAGACGTGGATGGACCTAGAGACTGTCATACTGAGTGAAGTAAGTCAGAAAGAGAAAAACAAATATCGTATATTAACGCATATATGTGGAACCTAGAAAAATGGTACAGATGAACTGGCTTTCAGGGCATAAATAGAGACACAGATGTAGGGAACAAATGTATGGACACCAAGGGGGGAAAGCCGTGGGAGGGTGGGGGGCATGGTGTGATGAATTGGGCGATTGGGATTGACATGTATAAACTGATGTGTATAAAATTGATGAGTTATAAAAATCTGCAGTATAAAAACTAAATAAAATTAAAAAACACGAAGAAAGAAAAAGAGTGTAGCAGACAGTAAGAGAGGGCAACTCATCTTAATAGAGCATTTTTAAACAGTTACTAAAATCACATCATTTGCCTGGAAAATAATGTGTTTGGAAATGTAAAGATGTGAAAGAGTATTTTTGGTTCAGAGAGTGCCTAAGAAAGGGAAATTATCGAATATTAAATTGTAAACGTCTATAGACTTCTATGGTACAGAGTTTAAGAAACAATGTCAGCCTGTGTTAAGAAACTAGCACATGATATTTATAGCACCATTATTTAAAATAGCCAAACAGTGGGGGAAAGACAATGGCCATCAACTGATGAATGTTTAAATGCAACATGTTACAGCCATACACTGAAGTATTACTCAGCAGTAAAAAGAAGTACTGACACATGCTACAACACGGATAAATCTTGAAGTCATTTTGCAAAATGAAAGAAACCAGTAATAAAAGATCACATAATGTATTATTCCTTTTATATTAAATATCCAGTATAGGCAAATCTGTAGAAATAGCAGTTAAATTAGTGGTTGCCAGGGGCTAAGGGCAGAGGGGAATTAGGATTGTAAATGGCCATGAAGATTTAAAAATATGGGGGGAGGGGTTTGATGAAAATATTCTCAAATATTTGAAATAGTGGTAAAAATGGCACAATTCTATGAATATATAAAAACAATTGAATTACATGCTTTAAATTGGTGAATTTTATGGTGTGTGAATTGTATCCCAACAAGGCTCTTATAAAAAATAATGTAGGAGGGATTTATAAGGCACTTGCCATACATATGAAATAGAAGATTCAAAAAAAGTATACAGTTACTTATATGACTTGACAATTATATCAAGTTCAAAGGTGAAAAATAAAGGCCCGGACTTCTATTCCTAGCAATGGCAAGGTAACTAATTTGGCTGAACCCTCAAATGAATACAATTTAAAAAATCTGACAGTGGGTGTTCCGAAATGTCAAGTACTTAAAATCATTGAAGAATTGACAAAATACTAAGAAACTATTAAACTAAGAAAGAAAACAAAAATATAATGGAGAATGAGAATCAAAAGGGCTAAGTGAGGGACCGGGATTCTGAAACTGCTTTGCCCTGAGGGAAATAGTTAATTCAAACAAACCTGGGTTTGATTTTTTAGCTTTTCTGCAAAAAGAAGGGAAAATAGTTGAAAAGGAAAAAGTCCAATAATACCTAGTGTTGGTCAGGATATAGAGCAACAAGAATATCTCTGCTGGAGTGAAAATTAGTGAAGCCACAGGAAAAAGTAATTATAAAGAAATATAGCTATTACACCAATACTGATGAACCGAGGAACATAATGAAGAGAAAAAGAAAAATGAAAACTGCAGACATGTATATTGTTTAGTGTTATATGCGTAGTCGGTGAAGCAAATTAAAAAAGGAAAATCAAGCAAACCTCTATGTAAGCAGTTTAGGATAGGGTTGCCTCTCTCTAAGGAAAATCCAGAGAGCTTCACTTGACATGAATATTCTGTTGAGCAAGAAACAGATTGTTCCCAAACAGGGGGATTTCAAAACCAAAAGTGGTTAAGAAGCTTGGCTCTTAGCAGTTACTGCTCAGTTTACAGACATGAATGAGGGAGTACATAGTTTTGTGTTTGGTTACTAGAAACTTATGTTCCTTTTAGGGTGGCAGCACTCAGCTTACTTGTCTGTATTGGATTGACTAGGAAGCTGGAAGGTCATGCTGAGATGAAGAAAGTTTTGGTTAAGGTCAGAGTCAGCATTTCAGGGAAACCAAGAGAGTTTATGTTTCAGTTACCTGGTTATGAGTGTATAGTCTAGAGATCTATTCAAAGCATGGCCTTTATTTTGGATTCTGTTTAACACCCCAATAATAAAAGGAGAATCTACCCACAATCAAATCTCTTACCTGCATGGTGGATTACTGGTATTCACTTTAATAATATTTAATTAATGATAATATGTATAAAATTATGTACACATTACTTGTATTTAGGCACTTCTTTCTATATATTAAAATTTACATTAATAAAAATCTTTCAATCAATTGATCCATCTCAGGATCTATTGATATTATCTGTATCTATGCCGAGTTCCCTGACTCTTGTGACTGCTCTCCTTCTACACAGGGTGGTCTTCAGCTCTGGGTTATTGTTTCAAGCTGATCCACATTGAGTCATGAGTCGTAAGATGTTAACATCCTGTTAACACCAGATACCTGTCCAATAGGGGAGGTGCATGGACTCCCATTAGTAAAATGAAAGATGTGACCTTGGGTTTCACCTTTGCCCTATTCAGGTTTGTCAGCTCTTGCTTGGATTCCGTGAACCATCTTAGCATCATTCTAGTAAGTTTCTTTTTATCACATACAAAAACTTAGAATGTAAAAACAATCTACCCAACTCTCCCCCCACAAAATCATAAAGTATCTGTATGCAGTTAATTGTTTAGACTTAAACTGTTTTATGATTTCTATGTCTGGCTATAGTATGTGATTGCTACTTCAGATACTCCTCTTTTAGTATAAGTAACCATTTAAAAAATTCGAATTATGCATTGACACAAGAAAATTTCCAGAAGTGATGTAGGCACTATTTGTCATTTCACCCTTATTTGGGCAATTGAGTGTGTTATTTATTTTGGCAAAATTATCCTGGATGTCAATAAACTTCTGATAGTAAAACTTAATGAGCCTATGTTTGTTAAACCCAAACGTCCTGAATTTCTGTCCTTTATCTGCACTATGTCCATTTTACAAGGGAAATTTAACACATTGTTTACATTGCTCTAGAATACTTAGATTTGCTATTCGCGCTTCCATAAATTATCAGTAAATTTACCTAGTATGATTTGAGAAATTTGTTCAAGCTAAACTTTGTTAACCACTCTTATTCTGAATAGAAAATATTGATTTTATAATACAGAAGTCACTGTGAGAGTACATGCTGAATTGCAATAGGGCTAGAGTCTGTCAGTCACTGACTAAAAAGATTCAAGGGTAAATAACGTCCTGAATCATAGTATTTAGTTGAATCATTTAGTTTAGTTTTCAAAGTGTTGCATTATTCAAGAGAAGAATAGATTATGCTACAGAAAATTATGAGTGACATGTTAGATTAAATAGTAATTACATAAATATTCTATCATGGTCAATATAAAGTAATGTTCATTAGAAAACTATTTTTTAAGAATCCGATAAGTCAGAACTGATGACTTAATGAGTTGGAGTTAAGAGAAATTACTGTCTGTCCTATTTTTGATGGATGTTCCAGTGACCAAAGGTTATCCTAAAATTGCATTGCAAGAAACCACAGCAGGAAATTCCACTGTGCTTCTAGCATATTAAAATGACAGGAAAAAACACTACTCACAGATGCTTTGTCTTAGGAGATAAGGCTCTATCTTTAATATACTTGCACAATATAATAAGGTCTATTAAAAAATAGTGTTTTATTAGAGACACACAGACTATTAATTGGTCATGTAGTCATAAAGACTTTAATACTTTTTATTTTGTTTGAAAATTGTCTCAGCAAATTCAAGTCCTGCTTTCCTTTCCATAGGTTAACAGTAACAAGCACTTTTCCAATCTTGATTAATATGCTGTGATGAAATTCTAAAACATTCCTTTGAATTATTGTGCAATTCACTTTTAGAAAAATGTTTATATTTAATTAAAATATATATTCTCACAATTTCAAATTTATATATTTTGTTCTGTTCCATTGAACTACATGGGCAGAATGGGCAAAATGTACCCTTACATTCACATGAGTTCTCTATCATCTCTTGAAACTATTTTCTCACATATCACATATCCCCAGTTAATTTGTTGTTTCTTTTATACCTTGATTTTTAGTTATCTTTTTATCCTCATCATTCTTTGCTGAATAGACTTCAGTTTACTGACATTGTTTACTATCTTTTTATTCCTTTACATTTTTTTTTTTTTCCATCTCTCTGGAGACAACACTGATTCACATGGAGATGAACTTGGGAGGGAGAGGGACTGTTATTTAAGCAACAAGTAATAATTCAGCTAATTTTTAAAAACAAATTCCAAAAAGCTGAGTGTAGGTGACCATGAGAGTATAGGACCTCAGCAAATTGCGGGCAGAAGTGGTATTGGCACCTATTCATGGACCCTGACAGAATATTCACAATAAAAGATTGGAGAAAGCTTCTCAAATGGGAAAGTCTAGAAGAAAAGAATAGACACCATAGTGAAAAGAGTAATACATCTCATTTGTATTCTTCTTGCATATGGGTCAAAAGTCTTAATTTTCATGGGGAAGAGAAACATCACTCCCAGGAATAGAGCAGAGAATAGGAAGAAAATAATCTCTACCCCTGAGTGGAGAAAAGGACAACATATTGAGCACATAGAGATACCCAAGCACCAGGGAAGGTCAGGATTACTGAAAAAGTCCCTCTTTCGAGACTCAGGACCCTCCTAAGCCTGAGGCTGAACCATGACAACAGACTGCCTCTTTGCCCACCTCCACCAGACTAGAAGCAGAAACAGGCAACAGCACCCTACTGCAGGAGAGGGGTCAGAGGTTAAAGAAAGACCCTCTCGAGCTGCCGACACAAAGGACTAGCCTAACCCTGAGAGTGAAGGGGACAATAAGAAAAATCCTGTGATAATTAGACCCCACCCTATGGGCAAGGTAATGCTAGAAGAATTTGAAGCCAGTGATTCATTGTAGGAAGTCATTATAACAACAGAACTCAAACCCAGCTCAACTCCTGATGAGATGGACTCAAATCCCCACTCTCATACTCTTCAAAAGCATAGCAAAGAAAATACAGGTTCATTTCAAGGAATGAATAGACACACTATCTGTGTTTCAGGCAAACTTTTTCAGAAAGACAAAAAATCAAGGAGAAAAAAAAGAAATCTAGTATCAATAGACAAAAATTCAATAGGACCTGACTCAGATATGACCCAGATGCTGGAACTGTCAGCCAGGGAATTTAAAATAACTGTGACTAATAGGTTAAGGCACTAGTGGAAAAGGTGCAAAACTTTCTGACCATATGAAGGATTTCACCAGTGAGATGGAAAAAGATAAACGGAAGTACTAGATTAAGACAAATTGCTGAAAGAAATGAGGAAAACCTTTGACAGGCTCAACAGTAGGCTTCTATTGGACTGAAAGCTTTTTTCTTTTTTTGCGGTATGTGGGCCTCTCACTGTTGTGGCCTCTCCCGTTGCGGAGCGCAGGCTCAGCGGCCGTGGCTCACGGGCCTAGCCGCTCTGCAGCACGTGGGATCTTCCCGGACCGGGGCAAGAACCCGTGTCCCCTGCATCGGCAGGCGGACTCTCAACCACTGTGCCACCAGAGAAGCCCTGGACTGAAAGCTTTTAATAACCACTTTTATTCCTGATCAAGTCTAAAATCGTTATCACAATGCTTGGTGTGAGGTGTGTACTCAATAAAGTTCTGTTTACTGAATAGATTTATTAATTTTTAATATATTTATTGCAAGATTTCAAGTGATCTTTTAATAACAGATTTATTAAGAAATAATTTGCATACCATAAAAGTCACCCATTTAAATTATACACTAAGCTTATTTTGCTACTTTACAGAGCTGTGCAAATACCACCAAAATGAATTATTCTATTCATTTCTATCACTTTAAAAGATCCTTCATACCCATTTGCAGTCAGCCTGATATCATCTATTTATCTATCTGCCTATATACCTATATATCTATGTCCTTACACACTTTCTTACTCTCTCCCTCCCTCCCTCTCTGTTTTTTCTCCCTTTCTTTCTTTCTTTCTTTTTCTTTCTTTCTCTCTTTCTTTCTCCTCCCTCCCTCCCTCCCTTCTTTCCTTCTTTATTTTACTGTGCACATAGTATGTAAAAGGTACTCAATATCTCACTGTTGACTTATTGTCCTTTTAACATGATCTCCCTGTATTTAATCTTGTTCTATATGTGAATACACACACACACACACACACACACATACTGATATATTCTAAATATATTATAGATGGGATCAGGTAGTGTTAATCAAGAAAGAATGTGTGTACACCTAAGTGTGTGCTATGGAAATAAGTAAACTGATGCAAAATAACTTAAACGACTGCTATTTGGAGAGCCGGGGTAGAGGAAAAGGTGAATTTTCGGAAATATAGCCTGAATCCATTTGAAGACAATTTTATGTAGATCAGAAAACTTCCAAGTTACTTACCAAGAATGAAAAATTAACCATAAACACAACAAATATTAAGCCAATGAATAGCAGGGCTAAGCGCTAAACAATGTAGTCCTGGCACATGACTTTACTCCAATCAAGGACACTACTTTCCTGAAAAGCTGAGCATTCTGACTTACTTTTAGATGTGACAGATGAAGACAAGACTTTAGGATAAACAAAGCACATTTGTGATCATGTTAACTTTGTAAACCAGCAGCAGATGTGCTCTGTAGGGGTGTGCTAAGTCCACCAAAGATAAAACTTTTTGGCAAATTCCCATCTATGCAGCTTCCAACTGCTGTCTCACATCCACCCTTACACAGACGTACATTTGCTGTGAGAGGGGTACATCTTAAGAGAACTAGTCACTTTCCTGAATCTGCAATAAAAGAAGCAGAAATGGAATCTCAAAATCTTAGCCTATACTTTGAATATAGAAGAGACATTAAAATAATCAAATATGGAAACATTTGCCTCTGCTCATGAAGTTTCAATGTAGAGAAAATTGCTTTACAAAATATCTCATGAATCCAGGTTAGTCCTCTTCTTGATACTAATTGTTTAAACTGACAATAAAAATTCATTTAATGTAATCCTCATATCTCAGCTCAAAGGAATAAGATTCTTATACCAGCTGTAAAAACTGAAGTAATCTAAATAAAAGCCACCCACAATATTTATGAGAAAGTGTAAGCTGAAATGTATTTGCAGCACTTCAAAATAATCAACAGGAATATGAAGCCTAAAAGAATCTGCAAAGTACAAAAGAGACAAAAATAGCATTAAATATAAAGAGCTTCTTTCCAAAAATATACTTATTCCTGAGAAAATAATAAATTGTCTATAGTATTTTTAGGAGCTCCAAAGTAAATGAAAAGTGCTTGATCATATGTGATTCAAAATTGAGATGAATAGAAAACAGATGAAAGTAAAATGAAGCTATCCATTAAGACACACTTTAAGAAGATTTAAAATCTATGTCCAAATAAATATTTTCAGTAATAAAGAGATATATGATACCAAGTAACCAAATTATGGACACTTCATTTAATAGAACATCATGATTTTCATGCAGAGTAAAATGAAAAGATGAGCAAACATCCAAAATCTGTCACATTTTTTGAGAAAAATCAAACACCATAAAGTGAGGTGCAAATATAGACAACTGAAAGAACCACAAACAAGGAAAGACTTACTAGAGCACACAGATCACTCAAGTACTTTGGAAGATACCTCATAAGAGCTGTATCGAAATGCATGAGAGACAATGTAACCAAATGGAGAGACATGTATGTTTCTGGATGGGAAGATTCTTAATGTAAAGAAGTCAGTTTTCTCGAAATGAGCTAACCAAAATAAACCAAAAATATTTTATGAATAACTCAGTCAGCTTATACTAAAATTCAATGGGAAGATATAATGAGCATGAATAACTATGAAAACTTTGTAAAACAAAATGAATGAGTTGTTACCTATGAGGTAATCACAGATCTTTCCTAATTAAAACATTGTTTCGTTCATAAATATTTAAGTAAATCAATATGACACAACATAGGGTCCATAGGATTCTTAGTATGTGATGAAATGTCCTTTCATTTTACTGATAAAATGATATATTCAGTAATTGTATCTCAGACAACTGGCTAATAATGTACTCTCTATCTTCAGCAACCAAAGATATAATTTCTAGATGGATTAAATGCCTATATTTAAAAGGGGGCTTCCCTGGTGGTGCAGTGGTTGAGAGTCCGCCTGCCGATGCAGGGGCACGGGCTCGTGCCCCGGTCTGGGAAGATCCCACATGCCGCGGAGCGGCTGGGTCCATGAGCCATGGCCGCTGAGCCTGCGCATCCGGAGCTAGTGCTTCACAATGGGAGAGGCCACAACAGTGAGAGGCCCGCGTACCACAAAAAAAAAAAAAGAAAAGTTTAAGTTTATGAAAATAAAGATTATTGGACAGTGTTTTCATAATCATCAAGTTGAAGAACTTTTCCTGTTAAAGACATAAAAATCATAGCATATAAAGAAAAAGATTTTCAGAATATATGTAGATACATAAAAAAGGCTAAATATCAATAAAAAAACAAAACAATATAATTCAGGTTTTAATAGTATTGCACAAAATATAAAAATACAAATAATCAAGTGCAAAAATATGCTTCAGATCACTAATAATTGAGAAAACACAAATTGAAGCATCAATTAAAATAATTTTCTATTGGATTGGCAAATATTAAAATACATGAATAATATCCATTGTTAGTGAAATACATAATGATATACTTTCATGGGGTTGTGGACTGTTAATTACTTTTTTAGAGAATATGGCTACATCTGTCAGAATTATGATATAAACACCATTAAGATGAGTAATTTTGCTTCTGAAGTATACACTACAGAAAGGCTTATGCTTATGCTCAAAGGTAAGGATGTGGATGAGCAGCATCTGAAAAATGGAAGCAAACTTAGTGCCATCTTTATGGGAGTGCTTAAATGAATTATGTTACACAGTATTATATATAAATACACACACACACACACACACATATATCACATTAAAAAAATACTGTATTGACATGAAAACTTCCCAAGATATATATTTAAAGGAGAGAGTCAAATCACCAAACTCAGCAAATTTGTTTACAAAATGTATTACAAAGTATTTGTTTACATATTATTTATTTATAACAATGTAAGCAAAATCAGAGGTAGAGAGAGCTTCCCAAGAGACAAGGAAGTTCTCTCTTGAACAAACTGTTAGGAGTTTTATCTGGAAAGGGGCACAGAAGTAGGAGGAGTGTATATCTCTGTAAAGAGAATCAATTGCATTTACTGCATGTAGGTGACTAAACATTGCTTGAAAAAACTTTAAAGAAAATGGTTCATGTAATACTTTTGTAAATTAAAAAGAAAAATGACATATTAAGTACAGTCTTCTAGTGAAGTCTATTTTCTTTTCTAGACTATGGAGAGTTTCAGAAAGGTATTTAAGAAACATAATCATAAATATTTGATCAAAAGCTTATCTGTTTAACCTTTCTTCCCTCAGGCAAACAAGGCATGTTTCCCACATTTTTAAAGTCAGCTGAGTTTCTGTGTTCTAGGAAGGGGGTGGGGGACATTGCTAAATAAGGAATGAATGAATGAATGAACAGCTTTCAATATATACCTTCTTTTCAGACATTTTGGATTCACTTTCAGCAACTCTATATTCTTTTTTTTTTTTTTTTTTTTTTTTTTGCGGTACGCGGGCCTCTCACTGTTGTGGCCTCTGCCGTTGCGGAGCACAGGCTCCGGACGCGCAGGCTCAGCGGCCATGGCTCACGGGCCCAGCCGCTCCGCGGCATGTGGGATCTTCCCAGACCAGGGCACGAACCCGTGTCCCCTGCATCGGCAGGCGGACTCTCAACCACTGCGCCACCAGGGAAGCCCCCAACTCTATATTCTTTTGTGGACTACAAACCTCACTTTCCACCCTGCTAACCAAGAACAATTCTGCAGTGCTCTGCATGGTCAGACCTTGTGTTTCATACTCTAAAGATTGGGTTTTTTATTCACAACTTACATCTCAATCCTGCTAGGTCACCAGCTACCTAATATGGGTCCTATTCAGTTAATCAGCTAGTTTCTTGACAATCACCTGAAAATACCTACTCAGATTTATTTTAAAGATTAAATGAGATCACTTAAGTGGAAATTCCAAACTTTAAATAATAATAAAGTAACATTTATTATATGTTTACCATCTACTCTGATTCTCACAACAAACAGATAGCTATTGCTATTTTATAGATACAGATACTGGTGCCCACAGGTATCAAACGTGAATGTGGTGTGTGGAGAAACAGATCCCATACATTTGACTCTAAGATCTAATAATTTGGGTATAATGTATGCTCATAAATATTCAGACATTGTGGCCAGTGAATAAGATATGTGGAGTTAAGCAAGATTTCTTCTTGCCACACAAATTACATCTCACAGGCAGCAAAAAAAAAAAAAAAAAAAATTCACCTATCAAGAAAAGAAGAAAAAAAATAGAAGAGTGGAAGACTGCAGGAAGAGGAAAATCATTACTATTTCCATAAAATTAGGAATAATGTTATGTTTAATTGTAACTTGCCTTTTGCTTTCTGGTATGAACTTCCTCCCTTGAATTGTTATGGGTTAATTATAAATTTTAAAACTTTTAGGCAATATATCCTGTAAATGCTCAACAACAATTAAAATTTTATTACATCAAGTTCATTAAGCAAATCCTATCCGACTGTAAGTTTATTGTCAATTTTAACTTGTTCAAGTGTTTCAATTACAATTCCATTTTGAGCTGTAATAAGGTTGCTGATTAATGACAGTGGTTAACAACTGCTATTAAAACTACCCAGGGCAGAACTCCATAAATGTGGAACAATTAGAGTAGCAAATGAGAGTAGCAATATGCTATTATCTTTACATTATTTAGTTGATTTAGTGCAACATTTTAAATGTTCTCTCTGAAAAAAAATGTTCCACTTGTTTTCACTGGCTTGGGGCATTGTTTTTGAACTGATTTTATATCTGTTTTATTTCTACAGCACATAATCAGAGTTAAGATTTTTGGGAGCAAAGACAAAATAACGTGAAGAGAGACTGTGAGACACTGACTTTGCTCTGCCTACCAGGATGTGGAGGTTAAGATTTAAAGTAAACAATTCTTTGCTTTGGGTAATTGCAAACTTCAACAACATGACTAACCATGATTTTGGTTTTGCTCTTGTTTTTGTTTTTTTAATTCCAAATTCCAAACATGTGATTTAGGAAAAGATGATTTAAGTGCTTAATTGCATTATTTCTTTCTTAAAATTACCTATTAATGTACACTTCATGCTTAAGGGAAAATAAAAATGTCACAGTGTTTTCAATATTTCAGAACTACGATTTGTCATATATCTTGCTTATCCAGGGATTAGGTTAAACATGAATGAACCTACAGAACCCTCAATGTTTATAATTAACAAAGAGAATGGTATTTAGCCAATGGCAACACATTTCATTTTCTTCGTAAAGATCTCCCTCACAATTCATTTATAAATATTTATAACTGGTTCAAAAACTATTCTACATCCTCCACACAGTTATATTCTCTGAGTATCAATCCATTTGAATCACCAGAATGGTTTGAATGAGTCTGGTTTTTTTCAAAGAAATTGCTCACACTTTAATATATGTCTGCTGTATTGAAGAATGACTTAAAATGTAGCCTTTTAGAAGCTTCATTTTTTAAAAGAGTTATATAAAATTCAAGAAAGGATTTTTGAAACAGGACAGAACATTGGGTGTGAAATAACTATTTAATGGAGAAAATCTCCATTCTGCTGAGAAAATTCTTCCATAGTACTTAAGTTTTAAACTAAAAGTTTTAAAAGAATGTGGAATTGATAATTAAAACTTAAAAAAAATATATATATATAAATGTACATATATATATGAATATTTTGTCACAGAGAGTGAGACAGCAATATTGAATTCCTTTTAAGAAGATTTGATGCAAAAATACCTTTTCAGAATTTGAAGCAAATCTGAAACAAAGTTTAAGAATCTTAACAAAATTCTCCAACATTCTTTAATATAATGGAGAATCTTCTAATACTTGCTGAAGCTAGAATAATTTGTAAAATTACTTAAAACCTAAAAGTTATTTTGTGGGATGAGGTTATAAACCTTTATTTATTTTAAATCGTATAGTGGCTTTTAATGTTTTAAATAACTCCAAACTAAGTACTTTTGTTCCTCAACGCATAGACCATCTGACAAGGCTAAAAGCTTTATAGAACTTAAATTGTTTGAGATTTATCATTCTGAGATAAAATCAAAACATCTTTGTTTTAAATTGTATATAAATTCCTGCTCATCTTAGTGCTTTCTTTACATTAGTATTCTATACATGCAGTATCCATGTAACTTCTAAACTTCACATGTAACAATATTATCTATAAACATTATACTAATGTTTATTCAATATATTTACACCAATAGAAGAGAAAAAATACAAGTTATTCCCAGCTTAAAAATCAGTAGCATCAGAATATAGATAAAACAATGAAATATTATAAAGAATATTAGCTAAAGTTCTCCAAAAGATAGCATACCAAATAATAAATTGCTAAATCCAGGTTCAGTAAAATCAAGAATAAAACTCACCAGAGATTTTTGGTATTATTTTGGGGGTTCTAGCCAGTGCAATAAGGTAAGAAAATTAATGTTTAGCAAAATAAATTTAACTGCATTTTATGATTATAATTTTATTTTTTTTTTTGCGGTACACAGTCCTCTCACTATTGTGGCCTCTCCCGTTGCAGAGCACAGGCTCTAGATGTGTAGGCTCAGTGGCCATGGCTCATGGGCCTAGCAGCTCCACGGCATGTGGGATCTTCCCGGACCGGGGCACGAACTCTTGTCCCCTGCATCGGCAGGTGGACTCTCAACCACTGTGCCACCAGGGAAGCCCCTATGATTATAAATTTAGAAAAGACTTCTCTGCAAACATGATGAACTAGATATTTTTAATGTGGCTGAAGACTAGCTGCATATACAGAAATCAACAGTTTTAATACATTAGCAAGAATCTTTTTGAATTTCAAATGGAAATTACATTTTAATAAAAATGGAAAAATGTGTAAAATATCCCTGAATAAATTAAATCGGAAAAGTATAGGATATATATGAAGACAAAGATAGTTACCAAATCTTATTGAATGAATATAAAGTAAGAGGTCCTTAACAGAGAAATCAGTCATGATTTAATTATTTAAATGTTCATATAAACTTATTATAATTCTAATCAGAATATAAGATAATTTAAATTAAAATAAAAATGGAAAGTGCTTACTTTAAAGGATACTAAATTATAATATGAGTGACTGTATTAAATGATATGGTATTAAGAAAAAAATGGATGGATTAGTTGAACAGGATAGAGAGTCTAGGAAATGATCCCAATATAGTATATAGCATTGTGTAGTGGTTAAGAGTAGCTGCTCAAAGAGAAATAAGAAAATTAGCCCTTCACCTTGTAAAAATATAGAAAAATAGGTTTCACGTCAATTGTAGATTAGATATAAACATCTTTAAAATAAGTAACAAAAAATGTTTAGGAGAATATTTCTATAACATTGGGGGGCTGGGGGTTTCTAAGCTATTCAGAGAATAGAGTTGTCATAAAGGGGAATAGTAGTTTAACTACAAATTACACATAATATATTTGCATGGAGAAATATACCATAAACAAAGCAAAAGAAAAAATAGATATGTAATACATTAAACTAGTAAATGGTATACATTATTCTTTAGAAATAGTTTGTATAAAATGAAGCAATGAAGAGTAGTCCCCGCTCTCCACAACTAGAGAAAGCCCGTGGGTAGCAATGAAGACCCAACGCAGTCAAAAATAAATAAAAAAATAAATTTATTTTTTTTAAAAAAGGGCTAAAATGAAATTTTTTAAAAAGCCCATGACGAGGAAACTCTCAGAAGAGTTGATTTATATAGATAATACCTATACGAATATAGGTTTAACTCCATTAGATAATACAGAAACGTTAATTAAAGTAACAGTGGTATTATAATTTTACTTACCAGCTTGCCAAAATTAAAAAAGAAAACAAAACACCAATTGATAACTAGTCTTGACAAGGATGTGCAAAAACAGAAAATAATCAGGAAATTCTATTTGGGAAAACTTCCCAAAAGAAATAAAAATGCTAGAATATAAAATATAAGCTCAAGAGTGTATATTGAAAACTGATTATAGTGAAGGTGACAAAAAGCAAGGAACAATTGTTTAAAACTTGAAAAATATTTTTCAATAGAGAAACGACTAAATACACAATGCTATACAATGGAACATCACACAGGACTAACAAAAATTAATTAAGCCTGTACTTTTTGATTCATGAGGTAAACAGGCGGTATTTTAATTTATAAAACGATGGTCATATTTATGTGAATAGAATAATCCTATTTCATCTACACATGCTTATACAAAGGAACAATGTTATATTTATCACTTTGCATGCTAAAATAGATTAACATATGAGTAAATATGCTCTTTTAGTCTCAATATAAACAAAAAGATACATTACAAAATTGCTTGTTAGGCATACATTTTAATGTAAATAATTCATTCTAATATTTGTTATATAATTTACTGAATTTCAGGAATTGTTGGTATCATTACTGTCAGTAAATACATGGAGTCCCTTTCTGAGACCTGAAATGACATAGAGCAATGCTCAAATCTTTCAGTAACTCCCTCCTTATAAACCATCATGAAGTTCATGGCAGCAGGTACTTTGTAGCTTCTGAACAGCTGCGCCTGCTGTCTATGCATCCCACAAGCTACATACACACACACACACAAGAAATCCACTGTTTTCATGTTCTGGTCCTGGAGAGCCTGAACTATTAACCCCCTGAGGGTGCCTGGGCCAGCTCTCCACTCAAGAGCTGCCAGGGGTTCATGCATCCAAGCTGGCATCACTTCCAGCCCATTGCCTGCCTACTGGGCCAACAGATGCTACCATTAGGCAACTCATATTCTCAGTAAGGAAAAAAAAATTTCTGAATATCAACAATATGGTTTATAATGACAAATCACCTCTCCATTTCTGCTGAACCAACAGCACAGAAAACTTTCTAATCTTTATTATGCCTGGGTCTCTATCAAATAAGTCATGCTAAGACAGGAAAACAACTTTACAAGGTAATCATGCCATCCTGTGACAATGAGTCTCAACAAGTTTAGGTTAAATTTTAAACTTACTATTTAATTTTATTGTTTACTGTATAGCAACGGATGGAGAATTTTGAGTATGTTTCTCCATTACTATCACCTCTTCAACAAAAACAAGAAATGTATGTCAGTATAAGATTTTTTATTTTCTTTCCTAAAATTATGACATAGCACCCAAACATTTTTGTGATGGTATCTATTTAGCATCTCAATGGTAAGAAATTGGAATTGTTTTCAACACAAGAAATTCCCATCTAGACTCCTAAAACACTAGGTATGCACAGGACAGAGCAGCTAGGCCAGACTTAAGTGGACATGAAAAACCTTGCCTTTTACGTTATCGTTATCTGTGTGCCATGATGCAGAGTGAACAGGAATCTCTGCCCTAGACCTGATCAGAGGACCCATTATGAAGCTACAAAATAAACTGTTCAGCTGAATGGTATAGTCTCCTTTTTATGTTGCAGGCATTTCTGTTTCTTTCGATGACTAAATTTGTTCTGCTGAATTGTAATTTAATCCTTGATTAGCAGCGTATCAGCAAAAATTAGTGTTTTAATCATGGAACCCCACCCTGATTAAAGGTAACTTCTAATATCAGCAGATGTCACTTAAGTTCATAAGCACATTGAAGGATTATAAATAGCCCTTAAGTCTGATTTTCTCTTTGAAAAATAAAATAAGAAGCTCTGAATAATTCAGTTACATTTAGAGATTATTACTGCATGCCTCAATCTTTGCCATTATGCATATAAAGAGGAAAAAATCCTCTTGCCTCCAAAGGCTTGATAATTGAATTAAGAAGAAAAGACATAAACTCAAGAAACATAATTATACTACTTTGTCTCTGGGTAAAATAAACAAAAAAGTACATATTAAAAACAATATTCACGCATTCAGTGAATCTCTAAAGAGAGACATAGCAAAACTATATAGACAAAATGTACTGATTGTGATTTGGCATCTTTTTTGTTCTTTAAACAGGTTTATTCTTTCAGTTATGTAAGAAGATGAT